CGGGGCCTGGTATCTTTAGCTTGAGGTATGTATAGTTGAGGACGGCCATGAACTTCGCGTAGCATGGTCGTCCTAGGATGGCGCGGCAGGTTCTGGGGAACCCGACCACCTCAAAGGTGAGGGTTTCTATCAAATAATTGGACGGATCACTGAAGGTAACAGGCAGATTGATCTGCCCAAGTAGCATGGCCTGCTTTCCGGGCACGATGCCGTGGAAAGGTGCTTGGGTTGGGCGGACGCGTGTTCGGTCGATGCCCATTTTGTCGAGCATCTTGGCATACATGATGTTGAGGCTGCTGCCTCCATCCATCAGTATTTTGGTGAGCCGCTTCATGCCGACGATCAGGTCAACCACGAGCGGATATCTCCCCGGATGTGGGACGCTCTCTGGGTGGTCGGTCCGATCGAAGGTTATGGCTGGCTCGGACCACCGGAGGAAGGCAGGTGTGGCCGGTTCGGTTGTATAGACCTCGTGGCGCGCAACCTTCTAACGGCGTTTGGAGTCATAGGCCGTCGATCCTCTAAAGATCATGAGGCAACCGTCCGGTGTTGGAAAGCCACCGTCCTTCCCCTCGGTGTCATCCATGGTGGGGTCAAGGTCCTTGCTCTACTCCCCTTTGTTGGAGCCTCCGGACAAGAACCGTCCCATTAGGCTGCAGTCCTTATATAGATGCTTAACCGGGAAGGTATGGTTCAGGCACGGCCCCTCGAGTAGTTTTTCGAAATGGTTTGGAGTGTCCTCCATGGGCTTCCAACCACCCTTGCGGTCAGCAGCGGCCACGAGCGAGTCCTCACGTCGTTGCTTCTTGTTCTTCCTTTTGGCAGAATGGTTGGAGGCGCCTTCGTTGGCGCCCTCGTCCCGCATTGCCTTGCCCTCGAGATGATCGAAGATCGCTCCGACCGCTTCTTCTCCTGAGGCATGGCTAGTGGCGATGTCCAGGAGTTCCTTGGTGGTTCACGGTCCCTTACGTCTCAGCTTATGAACCAAAGACTCGCAGGTAGTGCCGGATAGGAAAGCTCCTATAATGTTGGCATCGACGACGTTACTTAGCTCTTTGCATTGTTGGGAGAAGCGCCGAATGTACCCACGGAGGGTTTTACTGGGCTTCTGTCGGCAGTTTTTGAGGTCCCATGGGTTCCCAAGGCGCTTGTATGTGCCCTGAAAGTTCCCCACAAAGATCTCCTTCAGATCCGTCCAACTCTAGATTCTGTTGGACGGCAGGTGTTCCAACCACGCTTGTGTCGAATCGGCCAAGAACAGTGGAAGGTTGCGGATAATGAAGTCGTCGTTATCTGCACCACCAGCTTAGCAGGCAAGCCGATAGTCTTCGAGCCATAGTTCGAGGTTTGTTTCCCCAAAGTACTTTAGGATATTGGTTGGTGGTCGATACCTCGGTAGGAAAGCAGCGTTGAGGATGTGACGGCCGAAGGCCTGAGGCCCCGGCACGACAAGGATGATAGCCACGGCTGGCTCCCTCTCTTGGATAGTCGCGGGTACGCCTGCGAGCCTCGAGAGTGTTGCGTACATCGCGGTTATGGCCGAGACGCTGATGCACCGGGACCGCGGCACACCGCCTGCCGCCCTACGGTGCTTGGTGGACCGACACGTCCTTGCCGGGACACCCGGGGAACATGTGTTGGCTGGCGTCGAGCTCGCGTCGCCGAGACAATGAGCTCTCTGCCTGCTGTGCCGCCGCACGCTCGAGCAGCGTGCAAATCTCACGGTGGGCCTGACAATCCTTGGGCGTCGCTACCTCTAGAAGGCCATGGACCAAGGCTGCCACGGCGGTGATATTCTGGCTTGCCCGGGTGAAGCGAGGGAGGGCTTCATCATCTGTGATGATCCTTCAGTTAACATCGCGGGCCATGGCACGTGCGCACCCACCATCTCCGTGGCGTTCGATCTCTCAATCGAGCTCCGTGCATTCCCGCTCGAGCTGGAGTCGTGCTTCCTCGATCTCCCGATGTTGGGCTTTCAGCTGCTCCACCCTCATGTGAGGTGGGGCCGCTGTCTCCCCTTTGGCCTCATCGCCGAGGTTGTTCGTCGGGGTAGCCTCCTCTTTGGAGATGCTTTCGACGTGTCCCTCGGGGGTACCCATTATGAAGCATTCCCGAGAGGGGTGATGGCTCCCTCTACGGGAGTCAGAGCCAGAGGGCGACCCTGGCTCCTCTGAGAGGAGGTCATGGAGAGATTTCGTGACGTGTTCGATCATCCTCACGAACTCGTTGTCCGCGGGGGACGGGATCATGCGCTGGGCCATAAGGTGGACAACGGTTGCCGCGCCGTTACGGAGACCGAACGGAAGCACTGTCGGGGCGTTCCATGTGGGGGTGTTCCGGAGAGAGGGGTTCCCCTCCGACGAGCCACGCCATGTTGATGGCGTCGAAGAAGGTGAGGCGGCGTGGGTCCTCCCTAGACGGCTGGGGTCCCAGGGAGATGCCGAGCTGGCGCTCAAGCCTCCCGTAGTTGAGGCCGATGGAGGGGAGAGATTGGATGGCGGCGTGAGCCAATGCCAACTCTCCTCCCACCGTGACGATGAAGTCTAGGTCACCGAAGCGCACGTGTGTGCCCGGGACCTAGCTGATTCCGTGGCTAGGCATCCGTGGCCTGATGTTAACATCGGAACACGCAAAGGTCCCCTACTTAGCGCACCAACTGTCGGTGTTTTGAGTAAACACCAACTAGTAAATTTGTATTTGTTGCGCGTTGGGCCCAGATGGTGTGCTAAAAGACTCAAGGTTTATACTGGTTCGGACAGAATGTCACTACATCCAGTTTGTGGCTGTTGCTCATGTTATTAGCACTGAAAGGTTCGTAGTAGGGGGTACAAATGGTTGAGAGAGGGACAGGTCCCGAGTCTCTGATGGAAAGGTGGAAAGGGTGCTGAGAGCTTGGTTGCTGCTCAGCTATGTGTTATGTGATGCATGGTGTGTTCAATTGATCTCTTTAGTGGGGTGCCCTACCCTCCCTTTTATAGATCCAGGGGAGCAGTGAATATAGATGGGAGAAAGAAGAAAAACCAGAGGCAAAGAAGGTCCTTCGAAGGTGCCGGGTGTTCCTTTTCCTTTGAGCCTGCCCTGCTGACACGGCAGACGGTGCTAGGGATAGCACATTCGCTGATCCTGATAGGGTCGTGCTCTGGCTTTGTTCAGCAAGTGGTCACATCCCATCCCGCTCTGGCGGGCGGCGCGACACACCAGGGTGCCGAGCCACGACCCTACGGGGAGCAGATGGCGTAGAGACCCCACGTTCGTTACTGTAGATGACATGAGTTTCCTCCTGGACCATAGTGGTTATCGTATGTTTCCGTCAGGATTCGTGTCTGAGGGCAAATGCCGGCGCCCGTAACAATGTAGGACAAATATCGGTGCCCACAACACTGTTTGGGCTCTGACATGCCTGGAATGGCTTAAAGCGTCCGTCTGGTCATATCCTGATGGTACTTTCCTACAGGTGTGCAGGGTATGGTCCTCGGTATTGCGGTTGACTTGAGTGTCCTGCCTTATCTGTGCGTGTGGTCATGAAGGAGCAGCGTATAGACGTCGGGTGAGGCGGAGCCTACCCCCAGACGTCGGGCAAGGCGGAGCCTGTCCCCGAACGTCGGGCAAGGCGGAGCCTGTCCCCGAACGTCGGGCGAGGCGGAGGCTACCCTCAGACATCTGGCGAGGCGGAGCCTGCCGTCGGGCGAGGCAGAGCCTGCCCTCGGATGTTGGGCGAGGCGGAGCCAACCCTCAAGGGTCAGACGTGGCGGAGCCAGCCCTCAAGGGTCGGACGAGGTGGAGTTAACCCTCGGTCGTTGGGCAAGAGGTGTAGTCGTGTTCTTGTCTGTTCAGGACCATCAACGTTTGATGGTTATTAGCTCCTCCTCTTTTGGTACCCAGTATTCGGTCATATCATACATCATCATTTTTCAACGATTGTATGATATTGCTGACAAATCAATCAACACATCACTGTCTTCTCAATCTCCCTCCTATTTTAGTTCTTTCTCAATATCTTTCTTAGAACTCCAAAGCAGGTATGGTATTAATGTAGCACCTTTGTCTAGTATTGTAGTCCTATTTCATCAAATTTTAGACAACACATTAAACTATTATTTGATATTATTTTTCAAGGAACATATATTAGAGATAAAGTTCATATAACACAGTTATTACTTTCACATTTATCTTCCATGAGTTATATATGATCATTGTGTCTACCACGAGACTTCCCAAGGAACGTGTCTACCATGGACTTCCGTAAACATTAGACCACTTTATGGAGAATTTAGGGACTTTGTAGATACAACAGTCCACAATACTGGTTGAATCCATACTAGCCCATTCATTATCTCTATGAAATCACTGGTGATTGAAACGAATTTGTACAAAAAAAAACAAGTCGCCTTTTTATTTTGTGGTGTTCAGGCTTCAGCTTCACCCTTCACCCTTTCTTGTTTTAATGTCTTCCATGGACCAGGAAAGAAGTGTGACGTGGATTTGAACTCAAAATATTGGATCCTATGAGGGTGTTTGGGACTGCTCCACAAACTTCATCGTGTAGCAGCTCCATAAAAAACTGGAGTTTATGGAGCACCTCTTTAGGTGCTCTCACAACTCCACCATTTTTACTCGAACAGAGTACGTGGAGCTGAAACCGTTTGACTAAATAACATGGAGCGGAGCTAAAAAAACGTGGAGTGGAGCAGTCTCAAACACCCCATATGTATAACACCATCTAGAGGGTCATGTGCGCATAAATGTTAATTAATGGCCCTACAAGCCCTTGATTTTTTTTCTTCTCTCGGACATGCGGAAGAGTAGCATATCATTATATTAAGAAGATAAATGGGGTTGGACAAGGGGATTCACCCTGAACTCCTTTGCAAGGCGATGCGAGTCTCTATTCCATGGCTGTGAATTACTGCCCCAGCTCCTCTCATTTGATATGCCTTCAAAACACCAAATTCCGAAAAGGATATTCGATAGGATAGTGAAATAAAAAACGATCTGATGCATCAACAAAAACTAGACCGAAGAGCATCACAAACTTTCATGAACAGAGGTGCACAATCTGTACACTTTGGCGGCTTGTTTGGCCATGGCTTTGCTGCAGGTGCAGAGAGCACCTCCCCATCAGCAGAAAACACATACATGTCCTCTGCCGCCATCCTCTCCTTTTGCACACCTGGCAAAATGTAAACATCAGACATATTCAGTGCGGTGCTGGAAATCTTATATTCTTTCATAATTTCGACACTGCATGTCAACCCTCGTGTCCGTTCAATGTACTGTATTATCCAAAACTAGACATTGCAAAGATATGGTTTTTTTTAACAGTACATATACACCTGAAACTGAAAAGCACAAGCTTTATTTTGTGAGCTCACTTGGTCACTAAAACTTGGGTTAGTCTCATAACAAGCATGTAATCGCTGACTCGCTGTTGCAAGCTTTTCCCGTGAAACAACATCGTAAAATAGTTTCTGAATTTTTTCACGCGGATTTCGCTGCAGACTCTAATTTTGAATTGGAAACATATGGCCGGCCAGGCTGCGGTCGGGCGGTCCGGAAATTGGAATGAAACACTGGTTAATTACCGGAGGGCGACATGACGATGAGGCGGTCGGCGAGCGGCACGTCAGGGTCGTGGACCTTGACGGTGATGCTCCCGCCGGTGCCGGTGAGCCACCCCGGCGCGTAGAAGTGCCGGCACAGCTCCGCCACCAGCTCCCGCGCCTCCGGCCCCGCGAGGTACGCCTCCGACCGCGACGTTTCGCCGCACTCCATCTCCATGGCCCTCGCCTAGTCGCCTGCTCTTTCTCCACTGACGCGGTGACGCCGGCCGGCTGTTCTCGGTCTCGCCTTGAGATTGGCCCTCGCCTAGTCCCCTTCCCCTCTGCTTATTTTTTGAACGATGGGCGGGCTATTAATTGCGTTGATATGCAACCTGGGCCCACACGTCAGTGGCGTACTTGCGGGGATCTGAGGAGTGGCGATGGCCATGGTGGAGGCGGTTAGTGGGATGGGAATAAGCGGACAGGACATACTCTCCCTCTGCCATGGACGGTGCTGTGTCGGATTATACGGATATTACTATATTAGCACCACTGCAGACAAACAATCGTCCCGACAACAGAGCTAGCGAGTAGCATATGTTACTGTTGAGTGGTAATGGATCAGAATCTACATCCATATATAAATGGGAAAGTGAATCAGGGGGAGGATCCAACATCCGATCCAAATTATGTCCAATCCAATCCAGCTGCTTTAAGGCATGTTTGGGGCCCGCGTTTTATACGGTGACAGCCAAAACAAGCGAAGAATCATGCCAAACGGCCCGTGGTTTGAGCGATTCTTTTCGCCGCACATGTCATCGGCACCGCGAAAATGAAGTGGAAGTTGTGTTTCCCATGCCACGGTGGAACGGCCGCGGTACGCATACTGCACCGCGTGGTCCGCAGACGCCGTCCCAACACACGCCCAAAGTCTAAGGGTCTATTTGGATCCTCTCATATAAAGTTTAGATCTCTAAAAATTAGCACATTTTAGCTCTAAAGCTCTAATTTGAGGTGGGCTAAGGTTTAGAGCTAACTTTAGATAACCTGTTTAGAGACTTTAGCTCCAAAGTTTAGAGGTCTAAAGTTTAGAGGGTAAATCCAAACATGCCCTAAATCCATCCATGTCATGTCTAAAGCTGGACTTCAGAATTAAAATCTCACACTCACACGTTAGAATTTTAGCAAAATTGATTGAGATTCGTTTGAAATGACTTGGTATGAAAGTTGGGTATATATATATACATGTAGTTAAAAGTTGAACCCTAAAATTAAGAATAAATTTGTTGCGAATTTTGATATTTGCCAATAGACACTACTTAATGTTGTCTTTGCTAGTGAACACTTTTCGGCTGTGATAATTAGCTCTTGAACATAATATGTCTATTAAAAATAATACTTCTTCCATCCGGAAAATGGTAGACGTAATTGATCATAGGAAAAGTCATACTCCTTCCATCCCAGAAATAAGTTCGTTTAGGACATGATTTATGATACCAATGAGTAGTTAATTAGAGTCTATTTTCCTATGTTTGCTCTTATTGAATAACCTCTTGCGCACCCACTAGAACAATATCCATCACCATTCTACCGGTTACCGAGCCACGCTCTCAGTCGAGTGGGTGCGGGTTCGACACCTTGCTAGCGCGTTTTAGCTATTTTTGCATGGCGTTCGATCTCAATGTTGAGCCTCCATTGGAACATGCCAGAGGGTTTTTTTTTTCTTCTTCTTCTTCTTTCAATCTGTCGTTTCTTCTACTACGTGAGCAACAAATATGGAGTTCGATCTCAATTCTTGCTTCATTTTCAATAGGCTTTGATCTAAACTTCAGATTCGACTTACAAAATGATGAGGGGCCAGCTGCATAGTAGGCATCTCCGGGCCTCCTGATACCTGAGGGACATGGCCAGTGGGTGCGGCGGCCGGCCGTTACCGCGGCACCCTGCTTGTGCGTGCTGCAGTCGCCTGCAGGCGGAGCATCAGTAGCGGCAGACACGACGCCAACACGGTCGCTGTGTCGCTGCGCTGCTCTTTCTCCACCAGCTCGGCTGCCGCGATCACCTCGGCGCAACTGCCGTCAGTTGGCAACCTGCTCGCAGCCATCAGAGGCCGCGGTGCCGCTGTGCACGACGACGCTCCCAGCGCTCGGGTCAGTGCTCCAACGAATGGCGGCGGGTTGGAGCCGTTCAGCAAGCAAACCCTTCTACCAAAAGGCCAAATACGTAGCAGTCGACCTTAAGAGGTGGCGCAAAAACAAACCCAGGCTGTCCGACCAAATAGCCATTGTTGAGGACCAGATACTCCAACAACAAGCCAAGCCCCCAACCACCCCCCCCCCCCCCCCCATCAACAGGACTTTGATCTCCAACGTCACCTCACTCAGCAGCACCATGATCTTCTACCCAAAGATGAAGAATTCCATCTCCAGCGTGCCAAAAAAAAACCTAGGCCCTTCATGGTGACCGTAACACATCCTTCTTCCACCAATCAATCACCAAAAGAACTAGAAAGAACAGAATTACCTATCTTCAAAGCCCTGACGGCTCTGATTCACCACTCCTGAGCAAATTTGCCAATACCCTCAGAACCTACTTCCAGAATATTTTCTCTAACCATATCACCCCAACTTCTAATGTCTCTATTTATGCACTTAACCAGCACGATGCAGGACAACAGGTGATGAGTCTCCAAAATTACCAGCATATCAGTTCCATCCCGGACAAGCATGAGCTCAACTCCATCATCAAGAATATGCGCAGCAACGCCTCCCCTGGGCCGAATGGACTCAATGTGGTGTTCTATAAATCGGCGTGGCCTTGGATTGCTGATGATGTCTATACTGTGGTACACGAATTCTATACTTCTGCTTTCCTTCACAGTGATCTGAACCAGACCTTCATAGCTCTTATCCCCAAGAAAATGCAGCCTATGATCCCTTAGGAATTTAGACCCATCAGTTTGTGTAACGTTATATATAAAGTCATCGCTAAATCTCTAGCGAATAGACTTAAACCTCATCTCCCCAACTTCATTGACCACTCCCAAGCGGTTTTCATTAAGAATAGGCATATTTCTTCCAATATTGTCATCACTCAGTAAATCATCCACTCCTTCAACCTTAGGAGTTGGAACCACAATGGTTTTCTTCTCAAACTCGACCTTGCTAAGGCCTTCGACCGCCTCAACTAGGATTTCATTGTTGTTGCGCTCAACAGAATGGGGTTCCCTGCTAATTTTAGTCGGCTCATCCACGCCTGCATTTCTACTCCGACCTTCTCCATCCTTGTTAATGGTGAGCCGACCACTTCTTTCTCCTCCCAGAGGGGAATCCACCAAGGTTGTCCGCTCTCCATTCGCCTCAGAATGAACTTCACCATTCTAACTTGTTGGGCATCACGCTGGGGCCTGGCTGTCCACCCATCCATTCCCTTCTCTTTGCTGACGATCTCATCCTCTGTGGTGATGCTACGATGCACGAGGCCTCTACTATTCGTCGTATCATTCAAGACTTCTGTAACTATTCTAGTCAGACTCCCAATCTCCAGAAGTCTTCCATCCTCTTCAGTAAGAACGTTGACAGCCACACCAAAGCTCAGATCAGAGACATCTTCCCTGTCCCTGATCTCCTCCCTAATACCTTGCACCTTGGCCACCCCATCATCTTTAACCACAATGACATGAACAAAGCTTACGAATTCATCATCAATAAGTTCATAGCCAAGCTTACTACGGTCAAAGCGAACAAGCTCAACCACGCTGGGAGGCTAACCTATATCAAATATGTTCTTTCCTCCATTCCTGTCTACTACATGTCCACTCTCCTCTTTTTCAAGGCTTTTGTGGAAAAAATCAATGCGATCATCAGAAGATTCTGGTGAGCGAGGGTTTAGAGGATAACCCCACCTCCCCGATTGCCTTTAGGTCTTGGGACGACATTTGTCAACAAAAGGAGAATGGTGGTCTGGGCATTAGGGATCTTTATACTGTCAACATAAGTCTTCTCATCCATGCAGCCTATGATATTGCTAATAATAAGAATCCTTTTCTCACTGCTGTCCTCAAGGCTAAATATTTTCACAACTCTTCTTTCTGGACTACTAATACTACTGGACCTAGGTCCATTTTCTGGTCCTCAATTTTGCAGGTCAAAAAGGAACTTTGCAACAACAGTGTTTATCATATTCATGCAGGTAACACTTCTATTTGGTCAACTCCATGGTGCCCACTTTGGAACTCTATCCACGACCACCTGCTACTGCCTGTAACTACAGTGCCTCTACCCTCCACTGTCTCTGACCTGTGGATTTCTAACACTCGATCTTGGAATATGCAGCTTCTGTCTAACACTTTTGACACCCAAGCAGTCCAAGCTATCACCACTGTACGCCCAGTTCCTAATGATCAGTAGGACATTCTGAGATGGATGCCATCAAAGAATGGTCTTTGCACCACTAAAAATATTTACAGGCACCTGTCTTCCCAGAACTTGATCCAGCTCCCTCAACAAGGCTCAAGAAGCATTCTCCTCCAAGCAAATCAAATCTTGCAGAGCGCGTGGAAAAGCAGGAACCTTCCACCTCTCATCAAAACCTTCACATGGAGGCTTATAAGACGTGCTCTCACCACTGCAGAACGAGCAGCCAGGTACTCCACGCACATTGATAAACATTACGCCACCTGTGGCGCCGTGGAAGATGATGCTCATCTTTTCTTCCACTGCAACCTCCCTCGGGTGGTCTGGTTCTCCTTTAACCCCTCTATGAGAACTGATAATCTTCCTAACGAAAGCGATGGAGTCCAAGAAATTCTCCAATGCTTCATCTCCAACTCAGTATCTGAATCTCTGTTCCAAAAAATTCTAATCACACTGTGGTACATTTGGAAGGCTAGAAATGATAAGCGCTTCCAAAGAAACACTTGGACTCCTATGCAGGTACACAATGCAGTTGCAGCTCACATCAACACGCATATGCAAGCACAGATTCTAAGCACCGATGCAGCAGTTACTCAACTCAATGCAACGACACAGCCTCCCCAAAACAGAGACCACGACCAATCAGGTACAACCTCTACTCTTGTAGAAATGGTCTCCCCCTGTGGGGCATCAGCAAACTGTGCCAGGTGCATGGTGAGGTGGACGAACCTCCACTGCAACGTTCAGCTCCTGTCGCTGCAGATGGCCATCACGCACACAACAGCACAGCAACTACAACTCAGGCGAACAGGAATCAGGAAGA